GTGCTTGTAGTCTTGCTTCTTCCAACACGCTGACATTTGTCCGCCTGTCTTCCCAAGAGATTTGGAGGATTTTTTGGAGGCAACGCTGATGGAATCGTCCCAGGAGTTGCATGTGACGTCTGTAGATAGCAGGGTTGGGAGGAATCATAGAATCAATGAGTTGGAAGAGACCTCATGGGCCATAGAAATAGAATCAAAGAGTTGGAAGAGACCTCATGGGCCATCCAGTCCAACCCCCTGCCAAGAAGCAGGAATGTTGCATTCAAATCACCCCTGACAGATGGCCACCCAGCCTCTGTTTAAAAGCTTCCAAAGAAGGAGCCTCCACCACACTCTGGGGCAGAGAGTTCCACTGCTGAACGGCTCTCACAGTCAGGAAGTTCTTCCTCATGTTCAGATGGAATCTCCTCTCTTGTAGTTTGAAGCCATTGTTCTGTTGCGTCCTAGTTTCCAGGGAAGCAGAAAACAAGCTTGCTCCCTCCTCCCTGTGGCTTCTTCTCACATATTTATACATGGCTATCATATCTCCTCATATCTAGCTTTATCAACAAGCCCATTGGTCTCCCTACGGACGTCCCGGTCCTCAAACACTCTCTGCTTCATATGGAGAAATGCTTGATGGATTGTCAACTTGTCATGGTGAGGATGCTTGCGTGTTCCAATGAACTTGTGGACACAATGACTGGAGTTGTGCACTCCCAGGAGTGGACGCGGGGGAGGTTCCAGACCAAGCACAGTCCGAAGACCCAAAGACCTCAATGGCAGAACATGCAGAGGATAACATGGTACATGTTACAACGGCTGTGAAGGCGGAAGAAGGCTACAACAGATCGAGAAGCCACGGTCGTCGTGTTAACTATGCCACCAGTGGAACCTCACTCTGTGAAGACTAAGTGTTGATCATCTGTGCACTGACCTCCACACATTAAAACAATTAACGCACAGGTGTCTTCCAAGTATGTGAGCAATACTTGCAATAAACAGCAGTTGCAGGAACTTATCTTTTGTTGCAGTTATTTACAGTTTTCACAGCTCTCTCCAGAATCCTCCAATTCGCCATACGTCATCACATCACCCGACACCCAACTTGCTCTGTTGGTGTTCTTATATACACTCGTGTGATGTCATGTTCCATTCATGCTTTCATTATCTCATACACTTGATGCAAACCTGACTTCAGGGTCTCATTATTCTCTTGCTTAATCACTGTAACTGTGACTCAGCACTTAACAATACTTAAAGGAACCCAGCAATTTAACTTCAGAACAGGTTCGTATGTTTTAAAACTCCAACACCTTCCTGTGGAATAAAGCCTGTACTTACTTAGGTGATCCCTCGTAGTCTGAGGGTGATGGTAATCCAAGTGTAGTATCCTGGCAGGGCAAGGGCAAACTTCAGTGTTCCAGGAATTGAAATCCAAAATACCTGGAGGGCCAAAGTTTGCCCATGTCTGCTATAGGACCTGGGATTCATTGATGGCACTCTATCCAAGTCCTAACTTAGGTTGACCAAGATCAGATGGGATCTAGTGCCTTTTAGGGTATTTCTTGGCAGTCCTGGGGGAAGGTTCTTCTTTTGGGGATCTTTGCTTCCAAAATTCTCCATCCAGGGATCCGGGGAGTACATTCCCAAAAGGCCCCTTTCCCCTTGCTTTGGAAGTTCTAGTCTGCTACATTTTGTGGGGAAATTCAAGTTGCTTGTTGCCCCATCAAGGAGTTTTCTTCAGGGAGGAATCCTCAAGGGTAGTTTTGCCAGTTTCTGTCTCTGAAATGCAACCCTTTAGAACAGTGGTTCTCAACCTGTGGGTCCCCAGGTGTTTTGGCCTACAACTCCCAGAAATCCCAGCCAGCTTACCTGCTGTTAGGATTTCTGGGAGTTGAAGGCCAAAACCTCTGGGGACCAAAAGGTCGTGAGTTCGAAGCCAGCCCGGGTCGGAGTGAGTTTCCAAACAATTTGTGTAGCTTGCTGTCGACCTTTGCAGCCTGAAAGACAGTTGCATCTGTGAAGTAGGAAATTTAGGTACCGCCTACGCGGGGAGGCTAATTTAACTAATTTATGACATAAAAATCTCCAGCAAGCATGCAAAGAATGAAAGTACTTCATCAGTGTCAAAAATGGACAGTAAAGCAACAGCTCCCCTGGTGGCCAGAATACCCTCATGAAAAAAGCTGTGTTAAATTGTGGGAGTTGAAGTCCAAAACACCTGGAGGGTTGAAGTTTGCCCATGCCTGTTTGTGCTGGTATGGCTGTACCAGGAGCTCCAACTTTATTTGCTTTGTATTAAATGTTTGCTTGCAGTCCAAGGTTTCAGGGATTCTGCAGAAAGGTGGCTTCCTTTGGTTGCAGTCGTAGGGCAAGTCACCTGTCCATCATCGTTAAGTTTTGGTTCCGCCCCTTGTTCAGGGCAATTGGGAAGGGAAGGGAGCCATTTTTAGTTAGTCTCAGTAAGGAAAGCTAATTTAGAGGATGTACAAGCTTCTCCTGTACAAAAGCTTCAAACCTCGAAGACTTTCCGGGGGGAGTCTGGTGCCATACGGTTTCATCACACACGCTGCGGGGAGTCAGAACGCTCGTTTGATGTATGGTTAACTAACATCACAGTACACACTTTCCTCAACTTCCCCTTTGCCCGTTGTTTTCTAGTAGCGGCTTTCCTGATACGGCTTGTGTTACATTCCTCTCTCATTATTACATTGTAATTGTGCTGGTACGGCTGTACCAGGAGCTCCCACTTTATTTGCTTTGTATTAGATGTTTGCTTGCAGTCAGGGATTCTGCAGAAAGGTGGCTTCCTTTGGTTGCAGTTATAGGGCAGGCCACCTGTCCATCATTGTTGAGTTTTGGTTCCGCCCCTTGCTCAGGGCAATTGGGAAAGGAAGGGAGACATTTTTAGTTAGTCTCAGCAAGGAAAGCTAATGTCCAGGACATGTGCAAGCTTCCCCTGTACAAAAGCTTCAACCCTTAAGACTTCCGGGGGGAAACAGTGTTAAGAGCATCCAAGGATTCCCAAAGATTCCCAGGGAAACAGCCCTAAAGCTCTGAAGAATTTCAGAGGGTGAAACAACTTTGAATATCAAAGAACTCCAGCTGAACAGACTACAGGCCTTGCTGGTAGGTCCACTCGGTGCTTTGAGATGCAGTTCAACCCGGTAGTGGTGCCCACATCAGTTAGGTTTAAGTTCACAGTCAGCCTGGGAGAAGTTAGAAAGGGATTTTCCTTTAAAGTAAAGTAATAGTTAGTAGCCACCAGTTGCACAAAAGCCTGGAAGCATTTGTTTAACCTTTTGAAGACAAGAGAAGTTTCTGTTTGATTGTTGCTCAATAAAAGACTTTGTTCTATTTCACAAGCCCTCTAAAGACTTTTTGTGGTGGAACATTCCTAAGAGCTTCTCTTTGGGCCCCCTGGCTTCCTGCTGGGCAAAGGTTGCACGTCCAGTTTTAAAGACAACTCTTTACAGACCCAGCGTGCGACAGAACAGTAATCCGCCCTGAGTCCCCTGCAGGATGAGAAGGGCAGAATATAAATACTGTAAATAAATAACTAAAAATAAAACAAAACATCTGGGGACTCACATGTTGAGAACCACTGCTATAGAACCTTGGTGGTCTCCCACCCAAGTACTAACCAGGCATGGCCCTGCTTGGCTTCCAGGATTGGATGGGATCTGGCACTTTGGGGGTATTTAAGCTCTAGGGCAGGCATGGACCAATGTTCATCCTCCGGGTGTTTTGGACTTCAACTCCCACAATTCGTAAGAGTCTAGTGCAGTGGTTCTCGAACTTGCTAATGCCGTGACCCCTTAATGCAGTTCCATATGTTGTGGTGACCCCCAACCATAATATTGTTTTCGTTGCTACTTGATACCTGTCATTTTACTACTGTTATAAATCGTAATGTAAATATCTGATATGCAGGATGTATTTTCATTCACTGGACTAAATTGAGCACAAATACCCAATATGCCCAAATGTGAATGCTAGTGGGGTTGGGGGGAGGATTGATTTTGTAATTTGGGAGTTGTAGTTGCTGGGATTTATAGTTCACCTATAATCAAAGAGCATTCTGAACTCCACCAGCGATGGATTTAAACCGAACTTGGCACACAGAACTCCCATGACCAACAGAAAACACTGGAAGGGTTTGGTGGGCATTGACCTTGAGTTTGGGAGTTGTAGTTCACCTATATCCAGAGGAGTGCTGTGGATTCATGCAATGATGGATCTGGGCCAAACTTGGCACGAATACTCAATATGCCCAAATGTGAACACTGGTGGAGTCTGGGGAAAATAGACCTTGACATTTGGGAGTTGTAGTTGTTGGGATTTATAGTTCACCAACAATCAAAGAGTATTCTGAACTTCCCACACAGAATCCCAATGACCAACAGAAAATACTGTGTTTCCTGATGGTCTTTGGTGACCCCTTTGACACTCTCTCACGACCCCCACAGGGGTCCCGACCCCCAGGTTGAGAAACACTGGTCTAGCAGCTGTTAGGAATTGTGGGAATTGAAGTCCAAAACACCCAGAGGGCCGAAGTTGGCCCATGCCTGCTCTAGGGATTCTCAAAAACCTTTTTTCCTTCTCATGGTTCCTTGAGTTAGCAAAGCCTTCTATTTATTATTCTAACAGCTTTTTGAGAACTGAATGTTTTTAGAGAAAGTGCTCCTAAGGCAGAGATGTACGCTTGCTAATTGCCCTGTTCTTGCTCTTTTCAAATGGCTTTTCATTACATGTTTGCAACTGCTTTGAATGCTCTTGTTTCCTTTCCTTCCATTTCAGCTTTTGTATATTAATGGGCAATATTTGTTTTAAGTTAGAAGCTGCTTTGAGTCCTAGTTTTTGGCGGAGGATAGTACATAAATAAAGGTGACGATTAGTATGATACTTGGTTCCAGTTGGAAATTGCAATTGAGTTCTGGTTTTGGGGGAAAATGGGGAATGTAAATACAAATTGTGATGGTGATAACTAATTGATTGATGAATGGTGCCTCCTCTAGGTCAAGACTGGTCCCAAGACCTTGGAAGAAAGGCGTTCCAGTTTGGATGCTGAAATAGACTCCTTGACCAGCATCTTGGCTGATTTAGAAAGCAGCTCACCTTACAAGCCTCGCTTCCAACAGGTAAGAAGGGAAGGGGATTTCTCCTTACCTAAGTGCTTACAGGTAACATGGATCTTTCTATCCTTGCCTCTGAAAGCTGGCCTGCATTATCCAAAATCATTGGGGCCAGAAGTATTTTGGAGTTGGCATTTGTCCAGGTTTTGGAATATTTGCAAACATTGGGCTGCAAACTATTGTCAGCTGCTATCCAACAAGCAGACCAGAATCCAGTCCGTCATAAAGAGGAATGTAGTACCTAAGGCCCCTTCCATGCAGTTGTATAAAATCCATATTGAACTGGATTAGATGGCAGTGTGGACTCAGATAATCCAATTCAAAGCAGATATTGTGTGTTACCTGCCTTGATATTCTGGATCATATGGCTTTTGTGATTTTATATCAGGATGCTCACTAATGCTTCCTCTTCATCTTGGAAAGAAGTGACGAGTGGAGTGCCATCAGCAGGGTTCCGTCCTGGGCCCGGACCTGTTCAGGATCTTTATTAATGACTTAGATGAAGGGCTAGAAGGCAGGATCATCAAGTTTTGCAGACGACACCAAATTGGGAGGGAGAGCCAATACTCCAGAGGACAGGAGCAGGATTCAAAACGATCTTGACAGATTAGAGAGATGATGGGCCAAAACTAACAAAATGAAGTTCAACAGGGACAAATGCAAGATACTCCACTTAGGCAGGAGAAACGAAATGCAAAGATACAGAATGGGGGACGAGGCCTGGCTCAAGAGCAGTACGTGTGAAAAAGGTCTTGGAGTCCTCGTGGACAGTAAGTTAAACATGAGCCAGGAATGTGATGTGGCGGCAAAAAAAGCCAATGGGATTTTGGCCTGCATCAATAGGAGCATAGTGTCTAGGTCTAGAGAAGTCATGCTCCCCATGCTCTATTCCGCTTTGGTTAGACCACATTACCTGGAATATTGTGTCCAATTCTGGGCACCACAATTCAAGAGAGATATTGACAAGTTGGAATGTGTCCAGAGGAGAGCGACTAAAATGATCAAGGGTCTGGAAAGCAAGCCCTATGAGGAGCGGCTTAAGGAGCTGGGCATGTTTAGCCTGAAGAAGAGAAGGATGAGAAGAGATATGATAGCCATTTATAAATATGTGAGAGGAAGCCACAGGGAGGAGGGAGCAAGCTTGTTTTCTCTTCCCTGGAGACTGGGATGCGGAACAATGGCTTCAAACTACAAGAAAGGAGATTCCATCTGAACACGAGGAAGAACTTCCTGACTGTGAGAGCCATTCAGCAGTGGAACTCTCTGCCCCGGAGTGTGGTGGAGGCTCCTTCTTCGGAAGCTTTGAAACAGAGGCTGGATGGCCATCTGTCAGGGGTGATTTGTATGCAATATTCCTGCTTCTTGGCAGAATGGGGTTGGACTGGATGGCCCATGAGATCTCTTCCAACTCTTTGATTCTATGATTCTATGAAGTCATAGTATATCACAATTGTTTGCAATGAAAGTTGTTTTTAGTGATACCTGATGTGAAAACAACAACAACCAATTTCCATTCAGTTTGGGTTTTTCCTCCTCCTCCGTCTGCCCGTCCCTCCTCTTCCTTCCTTTCCCTTTTGCAGATGCTCAGATCCGCAACATCTGCCGCTGTGTATTCAGAGTTAATCCATTCAATAAGACCTGAAAGTAAATAAATAAACCAAAGGCACACAGACTAAACCCCTTCCTCTGCTTCCCTTGTGTTATGAGCATCGTTTTTGCACAGATGGAAGGGGCAGCTCGAGAGCGGCGGAGGAATGGGTTGCTTTCCTTCCATTCTCTTTGCCAGGAATACTAACTATGCCCTGTTCCCAATTATAACTGTTGTTTGTTGCAAGGTGACAGAAATATTAAATACAGATTGGTAGTTCCTGTTTGGGTTTCTGCAAGAAAATAATTCTTGGGTTGCATGTACATTGTTGAATTAATGCAGGTTTGGCACCACTTTAATTGCCATGGCTCCATGCTGTAGAGGCATTGGATCTGTAATTTGCCAAGGCACCGGTGCAACCTTACTACAGGTGCAACTACACTGAATAACAAATGCAATTTAACACACCTCTTTAACTGCCATGGCTCAGGGCATTGGATTCACAGGAATCGTAGTTTTACAAGGCATTTTGCCTTTTCACTGCTATGGAATCCTGAAAGTTGTAGTTTTCTGAGGCCTCTGCAAGCTACAACTCCCAGGATTCAGTAGCAGTGAGCTATGACATTTGCAGCAACATCAAAGTGCATTGAGCAAGCTATAAATCCCAAGATTCCATAGCAGTGAACCATGGCATTTGCAGCAAAGCCAAAGTGCATTGGGAAAGCTACAACTCCCAGGATTCCATAGCAGTGAGCCATGGCATTTGCAGCAACGTCAAAGTGCATTGAGYAAGCTACAACTCCCAGGATTCAATAGCAGTGAGCTATGATATTTGCAGCAACGTCAAAGTGCATTGAGCAAACTACAACTCCCAGGATTCCATAGCAGTGAACCATGGCATTTGCAGCAATGTCAAAGTGCATTGAGCAAGMTACAGCTCCCAGGATTCAATAGCAGTGAGCTATGATATTTGCAGCAACGTCAAAGTGCATTGAGCAAACTACAACTCCCAGGATTCCATAGCAGTGAGCCATGGCATTTTCAGCAACATCAAAGTGCATTGTGCAAACGACAAGTCCCAGGATTCCAAACARTGAACCATGGCATTTGCAGCAATGGCAACGTACATTGGGCAAGCTACAACTCCCAGGATTCGATAGCAGCGAGCCATGGCATTTGCAGCAACATCAAAGTGCGTTGAGCAAACTACAACTCCCAGGATTCCATAGCAGTGAGCCATGGCGTTTGCAGCAAAGTCAGTCAGTCAGTCAGTAGCCTTTATTTCAGTCAACAAACCATCGGCTAAGGCAATGTCAAAGTGCATTGAGCAAACTACAATTCCCAGGATTCCATAGCAGTGAGCCACGGCATTTGCAGCAACGTCAAAGTGCATTGAGCAAGCTATAGATCCCAGGATTCGATAGCAGTGAGCTGTGGCATTTGCAGCAACGCCAAAGTGCATTGAGCAAACCACAATTCCCAGGATTTCACAGCAGTGAGTCACGGCATTTGCAGCAACGCCAAAGTGCATTGAGCAAACTACAACTCCCAGGATTCCATAGCCGTGAACCATGGCATTTGCAGCAATGTCAAAGTGTATTGAGCAAACTACAACTCCCAGGATTCCATAGCAGCAAGTCACGGCATTTGCAGCAACGTCAAAGTTCATTGAAAAAATACAGCTCCCAGAACTTCATAGCAGTGAGCCATTGAGCAAGCTACAACTCCCAGGATTCCATAGCAGTGAGCCATTGCATTTGCAGCAATATCAAAGTGCATTAAGCAAACTACAAGTCCCAGGATTCCATAGAAGTGACCCATGGCATTTGCAGCAACGTCAAAGTCCATTGAGCAAGCTACAGCTCCCAGGATTCCATTGCAGTAAGCCATAGCATTTGCAACAACATCAAAGCGCATTGAGCAAACTACAAGTCCCAGGATTCAGTAGCAATGAGCCATTGACATTTGAAGCAACATCTACAGTGCAGATGCAACCTATGTTTGAATTGAATCCCATTGACTTGGGTGCCATCAGCCATGGACTGGTGAGGCCTGACTCAAATCACTCACAACATAATGCACACATCTTGGCTTTTGAGATACCAGTGCGCATGTAAAGTGCAAGAATTTATGCAATCAAAGCACTCCTGACTTCAGCTTAAACTTGTTCTCTGAAGCTTTTTAAGCAGAAGCTGGATGGCCACCTGTTGGGAGGGCTTGGATTGTGCCTTCCTGCCTGGCAGAAAGGGGGTCGGACTGGATGATCCTTTGAGATCCCTTCCAAAAATCTGGGATTCTCTGATTCTAGGGATCATTGGCGCGCATGGTGCCAGGCCTTCCTTGCTTCCTGGAAGAAACAAAGAGAGGAGCGATGCGCTTTTGGAGCGCCAGACTGGCATGGAACAAGCGCAAGATGTTCCCAGTACAGAGTGGTTGAGTTGTGGGTGGGGGAATGCCACTTTCAGATGGTTTTTAGGCGGGCCTTCTGCCTTCCCTTCTGCTGCCGAGTGTGTGCTTGTGTGTGCGTGTGTTTGTGAGTCTTTGGGGTTTCTTTGGGAGGGGGCAGGCTGGATATCGATTGCCTTTCGCTGCATCGGATGGCAGGAACATATTGCGTTTTGGCGGCGGGTAGCAGGATGTGCTTGTGCTTTTTTGTATATATTAAAGTTCCATTGACTGAAGGAGGAGGAAGCCAGACGGTTCTTATCTCCTTTTGCTGGCTGACAAGCCTTCGTTTCTGCAACGGGTAGATGGAACAAAAGTAACACACATACACACACAGGCTTGCCAGGATTGTGCATTCCTTGTGCGTTTGAATTGCCAAGAGAAGGGGAATTTGTAGGACGTCGAAGATGCCTCTGTTCCCATCTCGCCTCCTGGTTTTCCGTCTGCTTGCTGGCTTGTTTTACAGCGTTCATTGATTTCTAAATCATCTCCATCCGACACACAACAGAGTGAAACCTGGGAGCAGAGCGCATGCTTTGCATGCTAAAGAGCCCAGCTCTGGTCTGCAACCGGGCTATTGGATTGCTTAGCACAGTGTTTCTCAACCTAGGGGT